TCCACACTGTATCACGAAGTCTTTTTCTCCTAATGATAGTCATTCACCATATATTTTTCAATTAAAAAAATTACAACACAATAGTAACCTCAATTTTCCAGTGATCTGAATACTCCTTTGAAGATGATAGAGTATTTGCTTGGTGTGAAATGTTTTGCCTCCGTACCTTTACGTGACTATTATATTACGCACTCCTCCAACAAGACTATTTCTCACTAATTTCGCGATTTCAGCACAATCTAATGAAATCATTTTGACTAACTGATGAAATGACAAAAAACTGACTTTGTAGAATCTAAAGATTGGTTTGTACACAAATCGATAACTGACCTTTCTTTGTTGATAATCATAACCGTGGTGATGACGTGAATCTTCAAGAATTTTCTTCAAATTCCTGAAACAATCAACGGATTATTACTTCCAGAATAATAACTGAATTTGCTGTCCGTAGTATTTCTATAACTGATAACAAGTTGCAATTTTGCATAATAGTTCCATATATTTATTAACGTCAAAAATCAAATACATCGTTTCCATTCAAAGCAATTCATATAATTAAAAAAATATCTGCATTGCATTGAAGGAATTTCTTGCCTATGTAATACAAAATCATCTGGAGAAAATCTTTCATGTAGATTCTTCACTCTAAATCTTAAACACTTTTTCTCTCAATTATCACACTCAAAATGTCTTATAGAATCTTATCATTCCCTAAATCTAAGGATGTTTCGATTCCCTCATCTTTTACATGGAAATGACGTCTTTCTTTCTCTGCTACTATCCGTTGACTATCATCAACGGCTTATTGCTCTTATGACGCACTCCATTTTTTCCAAAGACATATTTCGAACCACTCTATCTTTTTACCCCTATATAGTCAATTGCTTGCTGACATGTTTTTTCAACGGTGTATTTCGATACAATCTGAGAATTATTCACTCTAAGTCACTCTGTATATGCACCTATATTTTTGAGAAATTTTCGATGCGATTTTCGCGCATCATTTCTGATAGAGTTTTGAAGTGATTTTCCTGACAATTTTTGCACAATTCTTAATGAAATATCAAAATGTAAATCACATAGGTCCTTGGGAAAAATGTGGCACTGAACTTTTTCCGATGCGGTTGATGTGCCCAAAATGTCCGTTTCAGCGACTTATATATTTGCGAAATTTCCCATCGTAATAAATTTAAGATTTTTCAATATGGCTGTTCATTGAATATAGCTGTTATTTCTTTGTTATGAGGATAGCAATTCAAAGTTTTTGTCAGTTACACATCATGAGAAACGCATTCATTGATATCCAGGAATTTGCTGTTGAGCAACAATTCTAACCTACCGAACTATTAGTATTGGTAATCAATGTAATGATTTTCTATTTATGCCACCGAAACTTTTCTCTTCCTTGAGCAGAGATAAAAAGGCTATGTGGAAAGAAACATTCATGGTGCGAAATATTTTTCGGACTTTATGAAATATCATCTACTGGACAGTATACTCAAGGAAAATCTACATGATGTCGATTTCATTTATATGCTTGGTCATCAGAAAAAAGTTTTTCTGGATGACAGACTGCATCTATTTGAAACATACGCAGCAGTGCGAAATTCAGAAGACTCATGGTGGACTGTTCTGAAATTCAAGAAAAGCATTCTGTTGTGTATGCATCATTTCAAAGGAAGGCCGTTGAGCTGAAGGCTCAGTAACCTTGGTACTACATGGGTTGAAAAAGTCTCGGACCTAATATATAGATGGCGCTATTCTTATTACATTCATGGTCTTTTCAGTTAGTACTAACCTTCAAAAAACTGTTGAAATTGCATGATATTCAATTGATACGTTTGTGAGTTATTGTGCTAAGAGTGACACTACGTTTGTTATTTTCAAAACAATGGATTAAAAACAATTTTGTGTTTCAATTTTACATTGCTTCTTGATGAGAAAAAATATCGTTCAAACGAAGCAATGCCTTGAGAAGTGTTATAGGGACTCCGCTCCATCAGTAACAACAATTTCACGTTGGTTTGCTGATTTCAAAGGTAGTCGTAGAGACACGGATGACGCAGAACGCAGTGGACGTCCAAATGAGGCAGTAACACCAAAATGATCGAAAAGTGAAGTTGCGTGAGTTAGCTGGCATTGTAAAGATATCAAAAAAACTTGTTGGCTTTATATTGCATGAATTTGATAATGAGAAAGCTCTGTTTAAAGTGGGTGCCGCGCGAGTTAACTGTTGACCAGAAACAAGAACGTCTTGATGATTCTGATCAGTGTTTGGCCATGTTTAAACACAACAAACCATAAGTTTTGTGTCGATATGTGACAATGAATGAAATATGGTTGCATGACTCCATTTGAATGGAGAGTAACTTAACCTCGTCCAAAGCGCCCGAAAGTACAACAATTGGCTGGAAAGATTATGCCCTTGGTATTTTGGGATGTGCGTGGTGTAATATTCATCGAATATTTTGAGAAGGAAAATACTATCAACATTAAATATTATTCAGCGTTATCGAAGCGTTTGAAGGACGAAATTACAAAAAAACGACTGCATGTGGCAAAGAAAAAAAAATTAATTCATCAAGACAACGCACCGTGTCACAAGTCTATCAGAGCAATGGCAAAACTACATGAATTGAACCCAGCATTGCTCCCACATCTACCTTATTTGCAAGATTTGAGTCCCAGTGACTACTGACTGTTCGCAGACCTCAAAAAATGCTCATCGATGAAAAATTTTGGTCAAATGGGGAGGTTATTGCTGAAACTGAGGCCAATTATGGGATGAAAGATAAATTATTCTACAAAAATGCTATTGAAATGTTAGAGCAGCGCTGGAATGATTGTGTGGCTTTTGATGGAGATCGCGTTGATGAATGAAGCCAATTTCGAACAAAAACAAAACGCGCTTTATCGCTTAGGTCCGGGGCTTTTCAGCCCATTTGTTATTTTATATAAACGGCCTTATGATTTTTCAACAATATGAATATAATATATGCTACACACATATATTTTTCATTTTCATGTTTTCCAGTGAAAATTGTGAGGTTGAAGATCAAACTGAATAAAATCCATGCTGCACACATTCATTTTTGTGTTCTTCAGTAGAAATTATGAGGTTAGAATACCCGTATGCCCTTATATATTCAATAATAACTAGGTTAGTCTCTTATGACCTTCAGACACGAAATTAAAATGAAAAACGAATTCAAAAAACTAAAACGAAAAAATTCAAACCAATTGAATGAACGAGACGGAGTTTGAAACACTCTATTTTTTTCTATTTCAACATCCCTTGTATACCCCATTGCATCGCCGCGGATGTTTTTTCAAACGCTTATTTCGAACTGCACCCTGTATACGTTCCGCATTAGCATCGCACGTCAAAACACCTCTCGTCATTGTTCAATTTTTTTCCCAACGATGTATTTACAAAACTCTCTTTATATGTTTTTTCTATTATATTTTTCCCTCCCAACGCGCCCCTCTAGCCCTCATGTTTTTTTTCAAACCGGTAATACTTAACTCCCTACACTGTAGGTTAATGGACTGACACCTAACAAAAACAACTACTTCCCTGGCTAATACCACGAAGGGCGTTGGATTATATCCGACAGGTGTCAGTGCAGGATTCTTCACTGAAGTTACACCTGCCGCAATAGATTTTAATTTATTGGAACACACTTGCAGACCGGTTTCGGGCTGTTTGGCCACTCGTCAGTGCAAGTTAGTGTGTATCATCAACATAAAGTCAATGATTTCCGATAATTGAAAATCCAATTCCTTCAGAGTATCATTTCTTGAACTAGGGTGAAAAGGACAACAAACAACAGGTTTGTCATCGCCCCATATGCCTGTGAACGAGATAACCAACTGCATATCCGAAATTTGCCCAATTCCTCGTATAGGAAAAGAAAATTCCTCACATATAGTAAGTGTGGCTACTTGAAGACTGGCTATAAATCAAATCATCTAAAAGAGCAATTCGTTCAGGCCAGTCTCAACTCCCTACACTACCGGTTAATGGACTGACACATATCAGAAAACAACTACTCTCCTGGCTAATACCACGAAGGGCTTTGGATTATATCATAAAATTATTTCAACTTTTTTAGGAACTTCATATCTGGATATTTCATTTCGGATTGGGAAATTACAAATATTTTAAAATGAATCAATAAAATTTAATTTTCAGTACACTGTCATACTATTTAATTCATTGAAAATTTATGTTTTAATATTTACAACAATCATTCCTCATTCTGTGTTCCACACAGAAGGTACTTCTGTTTGGAACTTGAGAAATTCAATAAAAATGTATTTTGATTTAGTCATTAAAGTTTGACGAACGTGAAAGTTGACATAAAGTTGATTTATGAGAATCCCAGGAAGTATTCATTTTGTTAGAAGTGCTCAGCTATATTATGCAATAATAATTTTCCAAGCTGTGTTTTGAACAATTCCAAGACAGATCCCCCTAAATTTCACATGTTCCACATATATTGAAAATCATATGATGTTGATTATGTCGAAGATGTTTCTAGCAGTGAAGAACATAAACAACTAGGATGGAATATTCATTTTATTACTGTCGTGTGATTTGGAGTTACAGAACAATCAATTTAGCATTCGATATGAATCATTTCTGAAATTATTGCCATAAAACCTAATTTACAACAGCTATAATCAACTCGACTGATACGAAAAGTTATGTTTGCCTTTCCATCGTGTTATTGAATCAGCTACTTCATATTTCTCTATATGAATGATTAAAATAAGTGCACCAGTAGACGTCATAATGAATACTCATGCACCATTTGTCCCAAATCGATCAAATACTTTTTGACTACCTACCATATTCAAGTGAACTTTTTTATGTGGCATCATAAATTCTCGATAGTAGTCAATTTGCAGCTCAGATCACAGTGAAAATTTACCCCTATACGTCTTTCGTGACAATTTTGTCGATGAGAAAATCTGAAATTCCTTATAATTTTCAGGGAGCCGGTTGTACAGCCTTATTAGTAGCGGTAGTTTCAAGAAAATTAGAATTAACGAGAGCAGAAAAACATGTACATAATTTTATGATGGACACGCAGCTCACAAAACGGGTAAGTACATTGAGCAGAATGAATAAGCAATGAGTATATGAATTCACAAACATAAAGAACGCTAATTTGTGAAACACACGAATTATTGTGACTTGAAATAAAAAAAATTATTGTTGAACAATAACAACAAAACTGAAATTACTAAATATAATCAAGATTAATGATGAAAAATGCAAAAAAAAAGTAAAAACATGTTTTCAAATCAGGTTACTTCAGGAAGTTTCGATTAACACATTGACTGCCATGAGACATGAAAGAAACATCTCATGTTATCATTCTTATTGGCCGCGTGATACTACAGTGGTGTCTCTGTTATAGATTTGTTTTACAGCAGCGTGAGCCCACAAGCGCGACTGAATGCTATATAAGTTATACGGCATTGAGAAAGCTTGGCTGTAAGAGTCTAAATATGTTGTCGGCCTGTGGAATTGGGACACTGGCCCCTCATGGCTCCAAATGAAAAAATCCGAAATATGAGACGAGCAAAGAATATGAAAAATAATAAAAAAATTATTTTGTATAATTATGAATAGAAAAAAAAAACACTCCAGGCAGAAATGCTTGTCACATCCACTTCATTGCAGTTTTGTACGAAGAGTCTTGCTTTGGGCATGTGCTCGTCCAGATTCGCATTGAAGTTTTTCATAATTAACCACACATCGACGTCTATTGTTGCTGAGGACCAGCGGCAGCCTACGCTTGTGCCTGAGAGGTCCATTTGTAAATACCTTGGTTGCCACTTCCTCCCTGAATTTAATTATTGACATTTTTCCATTCAACACTTCCTGGTGCAGAATAAATGCATTCACTAATGCACTTCCAACAAGAAGCTCAATGACCAGTTTGCAGTAACATTTTACTCCTCTTCGTAAAAATGTGGCATGAGCCTTCATTTGATATGGCAAATCGATGTATGCTTTATGCTTATTGTAATCAATAACCGTAACTGGTTTTTCTGTTTCTTCACGACTACAGGTAACTGCCACTAACTCATCCGTGTATTTGATAGATAAAGTGAGAACGTCCCTTTTATCCTTCTATTTATGGACCATTACACCAGTGTTACTTTCTGCAGCCACGGTTTCACCATTATTTAGTTTTTTATCAGTAACTTGCTTAGGATTCAATTTTCTATTCGATCGGAGTGTGTCTACCAAGTCAGTGTCCTTCTCAAGTAAAGCATGAGCCAAAATCATACTTGTATAATAGTTGTCTGTGTAAATTGTGCGTCCTTCCTTGAGCATGTTATTTGCGAGCGTGAGCATCACTTCTTTTGAATAAAGATTCTCCTTTTACCGTGTCTTGTCCACAATAAACCATTTTGTTGTAAGTGTATCCCTTATCGACGCACAGCTTATATAATTTAATGCCAAATGCAATACTTGGGTATTGAACAATACCCATCCACAATATTAAAACGATGATTCTCTTCATTTCATCAATATTCTTATCTTGCCAATCATGAATTCTGGCCTTTGGTGCATTTTCTTTCGTCTTACACTGAGCAGCATACCTGTTTGTTTCGGTTATCATCATAATAAGGATTTTTTCGTTTGAAAATAATTCGTAGAATTCCAGCGGAGATTTCGTATAATAGTTTTCTTGCAGTAGAACGTTTATGCCAGGGTCAGGTTCCGTAAACAAAAAGTTTTTCAAGTTCAATCCTGTTACGATATCCCAAGTAAGATTGTTACCTTCTGTTGAGATCTCACTGCCATCACTACTAACATCTCCATAGTCCCCAATGACTTGTTCAATTGTTTGCATTACCAAATCATTATTATCTGATACATTTGAGATTGGCGTTGGCGCACTCGATTTGTTTACATGAGAAATTTTGATGAGCTTTTGTGGGGGTGGTTTATCTGTAGCCTCGTCAGATTCTTCATCACTGCTTGGTACAAATCAGACTCATTTGCCAAGAAGGCAACTCAGCCCAGCTAGGTTTAGAGTAGGAGAAAATGAAGGCGTATACATTGAGGAGTTAGCTAAACTTGTAAAGAATATGAAAACTACAGCAATCAACGCTAATAATAAACCTCAAGATACTGAAAAAGCAATCAGGGAAAAAGCTAAGCTTCTCCCAAAGAGTAACGAAATCAAACCAATCAATATACCTTCAAGCGATGAAGAAGAAAATAAAACTCCAAGAAAGAGGAAAAGAAGAAGGACAAGGAGACCTTCCAACTCACCACCTACTTCACCTATCACTAGAACAATGATGAATGCAGAAGAAAATCCTTACAAAAAGTACAACGAGATTCAGGAGAAAATCAATGTAATTAAAAGGAACACTCTTGATAAAATTGACAGCATGGTAAACACCTATTGCAATGCGAAAATAGAATATGATACTGTACTCAAAAATTTTCCACTAACATTGATGAGGGAAAGCCAAATGGAGGCGGTGAGGAACTATTACAGGGACCGGTACCTACCAGAAGCCAAGAAAGAAATCTCGAAGCTGCCTTAATGAAATCGCCCGAGAAGAAGGAAAACTTTCTCCTCCTTCGCATTCCTTTCCCTATAACACCACCACAAACAGAGATGAATTTGTGATCCTCAGGAGAGTCGCAAGGAACACGTCTACTACAATCCAACAAGACAACATCAAAATCCAAAACAGGTATGAGTCCCTGAGCGACACGGGTGTAGAGACGGATCCCCCGGCGTCCTCTGAGGCCAGAAGTAGGAGGCCGACTAAATCGAAAACGAGGACTCTTCCTCCAATTGTTGTTCAAGGTACGATACCTTTGAACAAAAATATAATGCATAACTTGAAGAAACAACTGGAGGACGAGATCTCGGTAAAATACACCGGGAGATCCACGCTTGTATACGCGCGTACGCGCAAAGATCATTACTCAATTGTTAACACGATTCGAGGCGCACAGGCGGAATTCCACACCTACACACTACCGGAGGACAAAACTCATGCGTTTGTCCTCCGGGGGTTGGACTACGCTCCATCGGTAGAGGAAATTGAGGATGACCTACGAAACGAATGTAAAATCAACGTTTCGACCGTATATAGACTGAGGACGGATAGACGTCCCCTATATATGGTCGTAACTGACAAGGACGTCACCCTCAATTTTCTGAAACGTAACGTCCCATGTGTCCTTTACACTAAGGTCATATGGGAGTTACGAAATAACAGCAGGAGGATTGTACAATGTCATAGGTGCCAGCTTTGGGGACATGCTACGAATAACTGCTTCAGGGCCCCGAGGTGTCTGAAGTGTGCTGAAGGGCACCAAACATACGAGTGTCAGAAGCCGAGGACGGACCCGGCAAAGTGTGCCAACTGTGATGGAGATCACCCCGCCAATTCCAGGAACTGTTCAGTCTACCTGAAGAAGGCGGAGGAGGTCGAAGCCAGACAAAGAGACAGGCAACCACCATCCCAAAAGCAGGTTCAGGCACCAATCCCCAAACTGGTCCCTGCGCCACCTCCTAAAGCGAACCCATGGACGAAGAGAGCCGGGATGCAGCAAGCCCCTGGGTCACCACCTCTTCCTCAGACACCACCGGTGCAAAGAGAGCGTGCATTTAGACCCACGATAGGGGACCAACAGAACATCATGGAGGCAACCAACTGCTTCCAGAGGCTAATCGAGATGGTGAACCTCGCAGAGTTCATTCGTGCAACGAATGATCTCTGCAACCTCATGGCAGGAGCTACTAGCCCACTGGAAAAGTGGAACGCCTTCGCGACGTTCGCGGGCAATATAAGCAAATACAACTTCTAAATGCCTATAAAGGCATACATGCTGAATGTGAATGGAATTTACAACAAATACCCCAGTGTTGTGAACTCCATTCATCCACATGACGTCGACATAATGTTTCTATCCGAAACCAAGCTGCGACAGGAACACAAACTGAAACTACGAGATTTTATCACTGTCCGGAAAGACCACCCTGATGCTGTAAGAAGTGGTGGGGTGGCTATCTTGATAAGCAAAGGTATCGCACATACGCAAATACCCCAGCAGCGAAGCAGCCTTGAGCATGTTGGTGTCCAGCTTGCAGATGGTACCTGCGTGTTTGCGGTATACAATAAGCCGGATGGACGCTTCACTTCGCATGATTTGGACAATCTGTGTAATGTTGGGAACAAGGTGCTGGTTGTGGGAGACCTCAACGCCAGAAGGCGTGAGTGGAACTGTCACAATCGACCTAACACCAATGGCAAGACGCTGCTAGAGTATTCTCTGAACAATAACATTGTCATTGAATACCCTGAGGAGCCGACACACTATCCTTGGAATGGTACGTCACCATCCACGATCGATCTAGTACTTAACAAGAATGTTCGAGATCTGGGCGAACTGGTTACCGTGGACGAGCTGAGCTCCGACCACTGTCCGGTGCTCTTCACTCTCAACAGAGACAGACCAACAACAAAAAGGGTCAAATATGACTACAAGAGCACGGACTGGTTTGAGTACAGGGCGTCCATGAACAATCTCACCGTTATCAAAAGTAACATTGATAAGGATGATATTGATGAAATTTGTGAGCAGTTCGTTCAAAATATTCGAAGATCTAGAGACGTGTCTACGAGGAAGGTCGTGGTGGAAGGTAATTGAGATATTCTTCCGCTTGATATTGTTGAACTCATTAGGCGAAAACATCGGATGCGCAAGGACTGGCAGAGAACGCGTGACCCCCGTAGCAAAGATCAATTGCTGAGACTTGCTGCAGAGGCTGACGAGCGCAAAGAGAGTTCACCAACAGAAAGTGGAGGGAAAAACTCTCAAGCCTTAACGTCCACGATCACTCTTTGTGGAGAATGGCCAAAAAACTGAATAACCGGTTTGAGGCCATCCCGACTATAGACAACGGTGACGTGCAGGCGGTGACGGACCATCAAAAGGCTCAGTTGTTTAGAGAATACTTCGCCAGTGTCCACCAAATTAGGCCCGACCTCTGTGATGAACACAGAGCCACCACTTGCACTGCAAATAACATCTTGAGCAGACCGGTGCCGACGA